TCTAGCCTAATAATCTTTTGTCTCTTTTTAAGGGATTCTCTGTTTCTTCCACCTCTGGGTCTGTACCCTGTTTTCCTCTCTTGTGATTGGCAGTCAACCTTCTTGCCTTTGATGGGACCGGTGGCAGTATGGAGTCAGAAGCACAGGTAAACCAGTAGGGGTTATTGAGACAGACACATGCTTTGTGATACTCCTGGTGAATCTGTATAAGCTTTTTGAGTCTGCTAACCATAACTTTATGATGGAAAAAATTTATCTTAATAATGGATCAGCTAGACACCCTGCTTGTCATGCTGGGCCACACCATAGGCTAGCATTGTTGATGGAGTAAGGGTTGGGAGCCAGTTTAAAGTTGAATAAATATAGTTCAGATGTAGAAACTCTACAGTGTTCCTGCTTGAGGTGAAGGCTTAATTTCCAAGGTGGCAGCCATTGATACTTCTACTGTGGTTCATACCCATAGGGACCAGTGCTTTTCTGATATCAGAGAAAAATAGATGGCACACACAAAATAAGTTGCTCATCAGGTATTTGGAGAGAGGCAGGTAGTTGTTGACTAAAGTTGTTGGTGCAAATGGACTACCCAACGTGTGGTGACTTAATATAAAATCTTAAAAATTTTGCCCTGGCCAGTTTGACTCAGTGGTTAGAGCATTGGCCTGTGGGCCAGAATTCCTGGGTTGGGTTCCTGCTAAGGGCACATACCTCAGTTGCAGTTTGTCCCCGGCCACTGGGGTCGTGTAGGTGGAAGGCGGTCAATGTTTCTCTCTCTCTCTTCCCTGCTCTGTCCCTCTCGCTCTATCTGAAGATAAATGCAAAAAATGTCCTTGGGTGAGGATAAAAAAAATAATAATAATAAAATAAATAAATAACATAACATAACTTTCGCATCCATTTAAATTCATTAATTTTGAAAATGATTAGAATGCTCTTCAGTGTTAGTCATTTGAAAACTCAATCTACATATTTATCCAATGGTTTTTTAGCAAAAAAAAATAAAAATAAATAAAATAATAGTCTGGGTCTATAGAATACAAACTCTACAACTATCAATTCTATTCTTTATTTGACTGTAAAATTATTTTTATATCTTGACAAAAAATACTTTTCTGATCAAAATACAAATGCATATGCTTAGTTTGTTTTGATTTTAGGTTGTTGGGTGTTTTTTAAGTTTTCTGACTCAAAAATATTTTCAGAATTGCTTCTTTAAAAAGACCCCAAAATGACTAAAGAGAAAACTAGTAAAAAACAAACAAAAACCCTTTTGTCCAGATAATTTAAATAAATCAACATGCACCTGCTCCTCACTTCAGGTCTCCGCAGAACCTTTCTCTCTGCCTGGCTCCTCTGGCAGAAAGGGGCTGGGATCTAGGGGTTAGCCTGGCCTTCCTGCCGTGACCAGCCTCAGTAAATGGGAATGGAATCATCATGGCCAAATACAGCCAACCAGGCCAGCTTGGGCAGTCATTCAGTATTATAGTATTTAGATTATGGGACTATGGGGAACATACATCTAGCTCTCATTAGTTCCATGTTCTATTGGGGGCACTGTGGCGGCCTAAGTCCTCATTTTTAAGGTCTTTTTTTTTCTCTCTAGTACACTTAAGTTATAAAAACTTTTCAGTGCAGAACTTTTATAGTAGTCTCTAAAAACTGAGTAGTAAATTTAGCCTACTAATTACTTTCCTGTATTTTGCCTTAATAATAGGAGTTAACATTTACTGAAGGCTTATTTTTCACAGAAGTTGTTCTAAGTTAAGTATATTAATTTATTTAGTCTTCATTAAAATAATTAATTCCATGAGCCAGATGTTATTATTCTCTCCATTTAACAAATGTGGAAACCCAGGTACAGTGGCATCCGAGTCGCACGTTGAACCACTATGCTATGCTGCCTTATACTTTAGATTTAAACCTAACATTATTCCTTTAATAAAAAGAAAGGCCATGTGTAATGATTTGGTTTAGCAATTGATTCTATTTTCAATAAAACTAGAAAACTTTTTATAACACTTTCTATGTGCCAAGCCTGTTGTAAGCACTCTACACAGGCATTAATTCATTTACTCTTTGCCCCAGCCCTGTGAGGTAGGTACTATTATTGTTCCCATCGTATGGGGAAGGAATTATGACACAGAGAGGTTGAGTAGCTTGCCCATGATCACCCAGCTAGTGCAATAGAAAAAAAAAATTGAGGGGTGAGTGTGTGTGTGGAATGCATATGTAAATTATTGCAATTATTTTAACATTCTACCATTACTGTTTGCCTTCAAACAAATTATTCCATCTTTCTAATGTTTAGCCACCTCATTTACAAATAATGGGTGGCAGTGGGAAGATTCCATGAACTCTAAAATTCCTTCCAATATTTCCTGTTGATTTGCTACAACAAATTCTGCAAAGTCACATAGAAAAAAAATCTTGTTTATGCCTGTCTGAAGACTTAAACGCAGCGTTTAAACTGGCTATATGTTCCAACACTGTGCATCATCTCCAAGAATGGTTTCAGGAAAAGGATCTAGCAGTAAGCTACAAATACAGAAATTATTTTGTTGATCTCCAGAGGTGCCAATTTCAGCTCAGCATCTGCCAATAGGTCCAGATAATCATCCACACTGTAATTCCTGGCTCCAACATTCAACAGCTGTGTAACCTGGGCAAGTCCGCCATCATTCTGCTCTGAGCATCTTTCTCTATGAAATGGGAATAATAATAATCCCACCTCAGTAGAGCTGCTGTGAGGAGAAATTAAAATAATGTGTAAAGCATATACAACAGTCCTTGACCTACGGTAAGTAATGAGTAAAAATTTAGCATTATTATTGCAGAAGACCTTTTCTCCTAAGAAGGGGAAAATTATGAATTCCAACTATTGTCATAGTTGTAGAGGATTTCTTCTAAGGTCTAATGAAAGCCCAGTCTTCCAAGATTTGGAAAATTGGGTTAATCCTTTTTATCTTCAGGAGCAAAAAAATAAAAATCCACTTAAATTACTCAATGGTAAAGATAGATATGACTTGATAGTGAACTATATTAGTTTGGTGAATTATTTAATTTCAGAGGGCTTGTGTCCACAAGATCAATATGAGCTAGAAGTTTTTATTTAACATGATTAAATTAATGAGGCAATCAGTATCATTAAGTCTAGTCTATTGGTTGGACTGGATTTTCTAGCATTTGTAAGGGATAGATTTAATGTGTCCTCCTCTTTAGTTAAAGAGGTAGTGGTTTTATTATTTACTAAATGTCTTTACAGTATATTTTCTGAGGACTGTAAACAGCATTTTAGAGCATTAGAACCTGTTTTTCCTTTTAAACAACTCATCAATACAGTATATTAATTACTCAGTAATTTAAACAACTCATCATATAGTATATAAATTACCCAGCATGCAAGGTAATATAGAAGAAAGACTAAGGAAATTTGAATTGTTTTTGTACTTGGAATAAAATAATTGAGACTTAAAATTTAACACCACCTGGAAGTCTGATTACACTTGCTTGTCACTTTTACTAGGGAAAACTCACTTTTGCTATATAGAAGAGCCAAGTAAATTAATCCATAGCTTTAGAGTTATTAGCTTACTACAGATTCAATCTGGGGATGAAGTACGTGTTTTAAATTGATTATAGAATGCTACAGTAAATAGTAGTTTATTAAGTATATTCACTTTGTAGAGCTGTGTATAGAAATATGATATGATTATATCCGGGACAAAACAAACCCCTTTAGGTGTTTAGGTAAAGCTTCCAGAGCTGAAGGGAATTATAGAGATATCATCCATCAGAGGCCCAGAGGGATTGAGTGAGTTGACTAAGGTTATATAGAGTAAGTGGATAGTCCAGAGTTTAGCAGAGGCTTTCTTGAGCTCAAATTGAGGGTGGTCCCACTCTTCTACAGCATGCATTCAGACAACAGATTATGATAATTAGTATAATAACCACTGTTTACTAAGTACACACTCTGAGCCAAGTACTCTGCTCAGCTCTGTACTTAGTACTCTTTGGCCCCCACCTCATAGCTCTGTGAGGCATGTTTAGTTGTTTCCATTTCATAGATCAAATGAATGAGACTCAGCATTGCGACTTGTTCAAGACTATGCAGCTAGCAAATGCTGAAAGCTGGGGTCCATCTCACCCCTGCATCTCCACTCTTTTCATTGGACCCACTGCTTCACCCACAGGGACCAGCATGGCCACAGCTGTGATGGATTTTCCTTTGAAATCAGTATTTTAACCTCTTGCAATGATAGCCTTGCTGTGTGCAACTGCAGAACTTGTATCCAAGTGGCTGAAAAATAATAATAATACCATTCTCAATATTAGCTTGCATTCAAAGGAAGACGGTATCAGAATGGTACATTGTTTGTCTATCGTTCTTGAAAATTAATTCACTGACTTTTAATAAAATCAAGTGTAAGAACCTACTAACTTATTAGAACATTATCTTTTAGCCCTTGTAGACCATGGATTCAAGATTATGAATTTAAAATAAAAAAATAAAAAATAGTCAACTCAAAGAGGATGAAATGGAATATTAAGCCTGGTGCTCTCTAAATTAATACATTGAGTTAAACTGGAAGTATTATTAAAAATTACGATGTATTTAATGCTTAGTTCTATTAGAAAGAGACATTCCTAAATGGTTAATACTATCTATATTTAAAAGTTAAAAATATACTGGAAATTGTTTGAGTGATGATGGCACTGAGCACTTTGGGGACAATAACTAAAATCATAGTAGCAGTGTCTTAGCAAAATATTTTAGATTTATTAGCTAAACTGTTAAATGTTTAGTGTGTTAGAAGCATTAGTTCCAAGGCAAAATGAGGCAACATTATATTTAACTGTTTTTTTTTGAAACTTTTTTTATTAAAAAAGATTTTTAATATTAATGCCATTTTCAATACAGGTGTGATAATACTCAATAAAGTATTGTGTACTTGATATAGTGAATTTAGGAATGTAACAGTCCACCTAGATGCTGGCTCCCTCCCTCTCCATTAGCAACCCTAGTAGCAAAATGTAAATATCCTTTTAAAAAATAGAGAGGCCTTTGGGCAGTTGGATGAGCAGAATGGGATGGGGCAAGGAAAGTGCTCTTTCCTGACATACTCGTGCTTTTGGCTTTGACTTCATCTAGTAATATCAGTTCTGAGAGAACTGAATCAAACCCTTCTATGACCCGCAAAAGCATAGGAGAAAAAAAGCTTGTCATTCACAAGCAGCTATGGACAAAACCAGCAGCAGAGTACAGGGTTGAGGAAATTAGGGATTCCAAAAAAAGTTAAAGTGCAGTTACTGTCAAAAATATATTATTTTGATTCTAAGAAAAGTAAGAGCATTTTATCTAATGAACTAGATTGCTGACCTTTTAATACATTTGGTTTTCATGGAACATACAATCACCATCGGACATAGAAGACTAGTTTGCTTTTTTAAAAAAATTGCTTGGAGTTATCTACAGGAATCTTGTGAACACAATTCAAGGATAACATTCTGCAGCTCTTTGGGTATTAGATGATTTCCTAGGATGAGTCCACAAAGAAAGAGGGAACTGTTAAATCCACTGATTCAGGTGGAAGTATTATCCCACTCCTTCTCCCGGCTCCCTCTTTCCCTAAATGCCAGTACTTTCCAGTTCTCCGTCCTCTACCCCGATGGCATGAGACCTGGAAATCATGAAGAGTTTCTCCTTGTTTGTAAACTGCCTCTGCACTGTCTGAGATGGCTGGACCCTGGGTGGCCCTTGGCTGGGATCTTCCGGGGGGCTCTCTGGAGGGCTCTGCTCCTCTGCGCCCTGGGAGGAGGTGGCCTCACAGTCTTGACTCTTACTGGCTACTGCGTCCACAATCGACTCTAAGGACGTGCCGGCCTCCCGCAGCGGGGTGTAGCCCTTATTGCTGCAGGGTAGGTCATCCGACTGAGAGCTGGGTGAGCCCAGTCTGGTAGGGGGCGAGTCCGCTGGTCGCAGTGGGGGCGAAGGGGAGGCAGCTTTGGCCAGAAGGTTCGAATCCAAGTCCGTGCTACACGGAGAGGGCGGGGGCTCCGGAGACAGCGGCGCGCGGTAGTCGGGGAGCCCACTGGTGCTGCGGCGCCGCAGGGCCCCATACTTGCCAGTCCTGGGCAGCTGACCGCCTTGCCCCCCGGGCTCTTCCAGCTGCCTGGGCGCCCAGTGCGCGCCACCAGGGTCGCCGCGGAGGTCGGTCAAGCTCAGGTCGAGTTCACCCCGCGGAATCTCTCGGGAGCCGCGCTCCCCAGGCGGTCTCTGCCAGCTGCAGCTCGCGCCCTCGGAGTCTCCGTCCCCGTCGCGGCTCCCTTGCAAGGGTAGCAGCGCGAAGGCGCTCAAGGAGGAGTCCACGAGAGAACTGGCAGTGCTCTGGCGCCCCCAGCTCTCGGGTGGGCTGGAGGGCCCTGGAGTGCTGCTGCTGCTGGCAGCCACGGCGGGGGTGGTGGCAGCGGCCACAGCAGCGGTGGCGGCAGCCCGGCGACGGCCGACCACGCATGAGCGCTCGCGGTAAATGCTGTACACGGCCTCTGCCAGGCTCGGGGGCTCCGGCAGGCAGCGGGAGGACGAGGCCAGGTCTGATGGGGACACTAGGTCCCTGGCCCTGCCGCCGCCGCCGCCGCCCAGGGCTGCGGGGTGGGGCCACGAGCCCCTGGCTAGCATCGCTGTCGCCCCGAAGGCGTCCCCAGCGCCACTACAGCTACCAGGCTTCAGCTCCAGGCCCCGCGACTGCACGTAGCTGAGGAAGCCATTGAGTGGCGCGGCCCCCGCGGTCGCCGAGGCGGGGGTCGAGGACGAGGAGGCAGCAGCAGCGGCTGCGGCGGCGGCGGCGGCCAGGTCTTTGGCTCGGAGGCTGTGCACGTCGATGACCGTGGAGTAGAGGTCTCGCAGGTTGATGATCTTGGTCTTCTTGTCTCGATTTTCGTGGAGCACCGCGTTGGCGCAGATGAAGAGGAAGATGCCGATACCCATGATGAGGGGCCCGAAGACCTTGAGCTTGTCAGAGTTCAGGTAGCCAGAGAAGACGCTAAAGAAGAAACTCACCGACTTGGAGGAAGATGGAGAAGGGGCGGTGGAACGCGCTGGAGGTGTGTTCCTGGGCACGCCCACGGAACTGGAGTTGACACCCTCCACAGGCCCCAGGAGGCCCTTAGACGTGTTTTTGCTGCTGCTATTGGCTGCGGTTGGGACGCGGTGGCCGCTGCTGGAGGGCAGCAGCTGCCTGCCCTCCTCCCTGTTGGCCCCGTTGGCTTTGGGCCAGTAGCCCACCACTGCCATAGCTATGCCCACCAGCAGCACCAAGATCCCGCAGAGGGCGATGAGCCCAGAGACCGAGCACAGCTTCAGCTTGCCTTTCACCACCACCACATCGTTCTTGCGCCTCTTCTTGGTTTTCCGCTTTCGCTTGGGAACCTGGCTAGGGGGGCGGAGGGGATCCTGCTTTCTGGCGGAAATCCTCAGTAGGCCGCCGGTGGCGATCATGGCGAGCCGGTGGAGTGCGGAGCTAGCCCCTAGGGCGGAGGCTTGTGCAGGGGGGGTGCCAGCTGCCCACTAGCTGCTCCGCCACCTCCTCCTGCTGCAAAGCAGAGGAAGACAGTCAGAGGGTATAGACTTGGCTGCAGCAACATGCCACGCGCTGCAATTGTCCCGCTCCCCCATTCCTCCACAAGTGTGTCCCCTACCCCAGGGCCTCCACCTACTAACGAAGTGAGGCATAGAGAAACCAAGGGTGGGGTAGATGGACTAGGAAAGGGAAGCTTTGTAGCAACAATTGATAGGAAGTGATAAAAACACGTTGAGAGAAGCCTCCTTCTCTCCCCCATGGCTCCATTCACACACACTCTATAGGTAATATTCCAGCTTGTCCATTTCAAACCCTCCTTGCTGGCTGCCAACAGAGTTCTGACCATTAGTAGAAACTAAATGTGGGGATTCAAAGTAGTCGTTGAGGAATTTCCAGGCAAAAGCCATTCCCTTTGTCCTACTAGAATCAGAAAATGCCCAAGGGAGCTGCCACAGGCATTTCAACTCTCTGCCTCAGCCAAGAATTTGTCAAGGTTAGGTCCAAAGTCACTAAAACAGCTACAAAAGTTACTATGGTATAAAGACAAAAGGAATTCATTGCACTGGATGAAAATTAAAGGTCATACATATGCTGGCAGGCAGACAGCTTATTTACCTCAGGTAATTAATAGAGAGTCCATTGCTGGGAGAACACCAGAGAGATGTGCCAATGTTCTGACAATAAATAGCTGCACAAAGTCGTCTTCCACCTATTACTGTTCCTACAGCTAAAGGCAAGCAGATCCCTCTCACAGCCTTTCATCATCTCTTTTCTGCAACATCTGGACAGCTTCTTGGGGTGGAATATTTAGTTTGAGGTAACTGGTTATGTAACTGAGCTCTTCCTTCTGGCCTCCTCTCCTCCCTCAGAGGAACTCCCTTATAAGTATCATATGCAAGATCTCCTCAGGGAATTTGAGAGGTCCTAGACTCCAAGAGAAAGATCTCTTGCTCTTGTGGGAAAATTACGACCTTAAATTTTTTTTTACCCGTCTGCCATAATAGCTTTCTGACCCCTTATTAATGTGCAACACTTTTAAGAATCCCAAAATTCAAATGAGTAAGCAATTAACTAGGTACAGCATAATAATGATGCCTTGTAAAATGACATTTCCCCAAGTGGGAACTCTTTTCTTCATCTTTTTCTCATGAGGTCATTTTTAGGAAGGGAGGGTGACAACAATCTGTGGAAATTTAGTTGTTTGTAATAAAGCTGAAGTTAGATAAATGCAGATATGTCTTTGTGGATATCTGTTAGCTTCTAAAAATTTCAGTCCCTCTGGATCCCCAGAGTTAGACATTTTTTGTTCCACTGATAGTGTTCCTTCCTATAATAGAGATGATAAAATTAAGGAGATTGCATGAATTTGAAAGGCTTAGATATCACTCACAAGCCTTTTGACATTTTATCCTTTACAAAATAATTCATGTTTTAGAATTAATTACCCTTTCAAAATGTGGGACAACTTAGGTAGAATTTTGCTCTTAATGGGTGCCTGGGTGAAGAGCTTTGACCCTCAATTCCCTCCATGATATCAATATAGGCAGGACCTTTTCTCCACCAGAGGAAAAACAAATGGTAATCAGCTTTTTACAATGTTTGCAAATCACTATCTCCTTGGAATTTAGTAGGTTTTCAGTAAGGAAAAATACTATGTAGGTTAGAGAGTGGTCAGTAGAGAGAATACATCTATGGCCCTTTATAATTTTCTCTTAAGAAGCTGCACCAGTGAGTACAAGATTGTTACCAAAAAAAAAAAAAAAAGTGGCTTACTGTCCATCTGACACCCCCTTAAGTAAGCATGTTTAGTATGTGGTTGTAACAAAGAGACTGCTGTTCTAAGTGATCTCTAGACTCTATCATCTTATCTGAAGATCTGTAGCTATTTTAAGAAGGATTTAGGAGCCAGACATTTTAGAAACAAAACCGGACTCAGTTGGCAGGTGGCTCTCCCAGATAGAGAATGGCTAACATTTTATTGGGCATTGGTAAGGTGCACCAGGATGCTGGGCATTTGGGGGAGGAAGGCCCCCAGGACTTTTGTCCTCAGAAATCAGCATTGGCTCTGGGTAGAGTGTAAGGAAGACGGGAATAAATTTCTGTCATCGTTTACAGAAGATTTTTTTAAAATGAGTTTAATTAACTCCCTAGTTTATTATTCCTCAGCTCTTTTGGAGGCTGAACTCTTCTAATGTACCATCCCCTGACATGCAATATAGACGAGGGTCAGATGTCACAGAAGATCCACCTTTGAGGCTGGATGAAGGAAAGCCAACTTAGCAGTCGAGGATGGTTACCCTCGAAATCGGTGCTGGTCTTTCCATGGTTAAGAAATGTAGGATAGGGAAATGTCTAAAAATACAACTGCTTCCAAGAGACATTCAAGTTCTGGGCTTATGATGGATTAAGCCCCACTCTGTGTGAGAGGCTCAGAGCCCACAGGCTGGGAGCGCCCTGCCCTGCCCGGGACTCAACCCAGGTCCTCGACCCCCGCTCCCTCATTGGCAGGGCAGCGAGCCCCTTGCCCTTCTTTTTTGTCTGCTTATTTATGTTGGAGTCACATGAGTGCAGCAGCTGGGAGTCCGCCTCTGGAAAGAAGACAGGCAGGAGAGAAGTGAGGGCAATCCTGAACTCGCTTTTTCTGGGCAGCGCATCCCGAATAGCCCGCCCAGGAAAATGACTCTCCCCGAACACCGGTCGGGGGTGCAGGCTCCGGGCATTAGTGGTGGGAAGGGGCAGCTCGGGGCTGAGGACAGACAGAATTGCTCAAAATGGCAGCACTAGAAGCAAACAATATCACTCACTTACCCGGTAAGACTGAGGCAGTTCGGAGCCAGCGATCGAGCGCTCAGGCGACACAAAGGAACCATGGAGAAACTTTTTCAGTCCGAACCGGCCTCAGAGCGCAGGGACAGCGCCGTGGGGCCCCGCATCGGAGCGCGACTCAGCAGCCCCGCGGGGGTGAGCGCCCACTCCAGGTTCGCAGCCCCCTCCGGCGCTGTGGCGGGAGCCATTTCCAAGAGTTTCCAAGAAGTGTCAGGTCCTCCGCATACTGCATCGTGCCTGCGAGCCGTTTTCCCCGCCGCCGCTCCTCCGCCCCCCGCGCGTGCCCTCCTGCCGCGCTCCGCGGCCGCCCCAGCGCCTCTTTGTGTGTCTGCGACGCGCCGGGCTCCGCCGGGTGGAGTGGAGCCCGAGGCGGCTCTCGCGGCTCGGGGCGGCCGGACTGGCAGCTGTTGCTAAGAGACCGGAGCCATGACACAGGGAAATTGCTGCAGGATGGCAGTCGGTACCCGGCCCGACTTCGCCCATCAGGGGCGCACCCGCCCCCCGCCCCGCCCCCCGCCTCCTCCCGGGAGCCCCCCCTTCCCCGGCCTCCTTCCGCACCCCACTCAACCACACACTTCTCTTCACCCGCCGCGCGTCCCTTCGGAAGAACTGCTTCCCCAAGGACCCGAAGGCGCGAGGGCACACAGAGGAGGGGGCCGGCGCTGGGCACGAGGGCCCGGGGTCGGAGGACGCGCGCGGGGAACACAGGGCGCGGGCGCCCCGGCCTCGGCCTTCCCCGCCCCCGTGGCTCCCGGGGACCGCCTTCGCCTTCGCCGGGAGCTTTGTTCTTTTTCTTCCAACTACCTGTCTGAGCAGCGGACCGGAGAGGGCCCAGAGAAAGGGCCGCCACTCCCGAGGGTCTCCCCACCGGCATCCAAGGGACGCTCTTGGGTGAGAGAGGGGTAGTGCCCCATCTCCTTCCCTCCCTTCTTCTCTCTTTTGTTGCTTCTACTCTTGGATACTGCTCAGCCTTTGCTGAGCACCGCCCCCCCCCCCCGCCCCAATTTGGGAGTTTGCAGTGTGGACGCGCAGCGAACACAGTAAGTTGTCCCCCAGCAAACTCAGGTCCGGAGTGGAGCCACCCCTGCGGGACTCATGGCAGCCTGTCTCCTGTCCCCAGGTTTCAGTGAAGCCGGGCTTTGTGACCGGCCACCCCGGGACCTCGGCCTCCCCGCTATGCGCGGGCGGCTGGGGCTCATCCGAGGTTAGAATCTGTTCTGGGCTCTTCCTTGGGCAGCCCCTCCTGCTCCGGCCGCGCGCAGTAATCAGCAAGCATTAAAAGGAAAACCTTAATTCTGCAGGAATCAGGGTTAGAATCAAAGAGGGGATGTGGGGGTAGGGAGGATGTCCAAACTCCCTACGTCATTTTAAGAACGGGAGAGAGAGATCCTTTCCCAGATCATCCCTGGCCTCTCAATTGTAAAGTAAAAATGACAAGGAAACGAGAATTTCAAAGTGGAATTTCCCCATGGAGTTATTGAGAGAGTAAGAAAGATTTCAATCATCTATTAAAACGAGGCAGCCAGGATTCAGAAGCAACAGAAGAGCAGATGAAGCAAGTGCTGTGTGAACTTTGGGGTCCAGACAGAAATATCTTGGTGTATGTGTGTGAGGAATGTCTGCTGTATATTCGGAGTTTTGCTGTTTAAGAAGCCACAGAACCCACACAGGAGGAGGGCTTTGGTGACCACAGTTCCAGTCACAAGATCGTTCCTCCATGTACACAGAATTCACCTGTGTTTAAGGCTAAAGTGTACACTTTTCAAAAAAGAACAATTAAAACACAAACATTTGCAAATTGAAAGAGATAAATGTGGACAATAATATATGAGGTAGGGATGGAGGTGGTGGGGAGACAGGAAGGGATGGAGGAGAAATGTTTCCCAAAAGGAACCCCTGCACCTGCCTGTTTGAAAAGTGGTCCCTGTCACCCTTTCCAAGCCAATTATGAATCTGGATGAGGATCAGGGTGTTCACTACCCCCTTCCTTCCACCTGCCTCATCCTACTCAGATGCAGAAGCCTAGAAAACAAGCCACATAAAGGGAAAGTTGTAAATCCCTCATTGGATTGTTTCCTTTTAGAGAAATCACTGCAAAGGAAAAACCACTGCGTCTTGTGGTCATATTTAAAGGGGTGTGTGTGTGTGTGTGTGTGTGTGCGTGCGTGCGTGTGTGTGTGTGTGTGTGTGTGTGTGTTTTCTCAGAGCTTCCAGACTTCTTGAATCCCAGTAATAATCTGGTGTTTTATACAAAGATGGAATCTGAGAGCTCATCACACAGCTGGCTGTCAGGGGCTATAGATGGCAACTTATATCCTTTGTGGGCCTTTATTTACTGACCTGTAAAAATTGGAAGAATATTGCAGAACCTCATTAGGATTTTAGGTGAATAAAGCCACTGATGGCTTAAAATTTCTGCATAAATTATAGCCATTACTTGCACATCTAAAACTCATTGGAGGGACTTGGAGAAGAAAATAATTCTTTTTTAGACAAACAAGCTTTGGGACAGAGCTATTTTTTTCTTATGTTGATGACTACAATAAGATTTATGGTTTATTAATCAAAGGCTTCCTTCCAAACTGAGCTCTTTGGAACTTTGAACTGTTCTATTTAACCAGAGTGTTAGCACCTTCAGTAATTTTCTTTGTTTTCAGCTCAGGGTATCAGAAAAAATCAGATAGATCATATCTGTTTCCAATAGTCCTGTATGCTCTCTATAATAACATAGTAACAACATACATTCTCGGGGGTTTCCAAGTTATACACAATTCTTTTGAAAGGAACAGTAATGCTCTTGGCCTTCCTGGAGTTATTTTCCTTCTAGTTTCACTGGCTGTTCAGTTTGGAAGGTTTCTGTGATTATGGGACACCCATTTTCATCCTGCTGAGAACCAAAGGGCTAAGGTCACCTAATTATAATAATTCACTAGTGTCTCAGGCACCCGGAGCTCAGGACAGCATTCCAAACATGTCCTTGCAAGACAACAATGAAGGCCTTGGGGTTTGGGGGAGGGGGGGGAGATCAGCTCCTTTAGTTGGATTAAACTCTGACCTGAAACCTTTCATTTGCTCTTTCTTAAAAATAATCCGTATGTGATTTATCAGTTTCATAATTTATTCACAATCCATTTACTTCCCCTGATCACTTTGTCTGGCTCACCTGCCTGTGCTCTTAGGGCTGCTCAGGAGGAGACAGCGGCCACTGTGGGCCCACTCAGGCCTCTTGGTCTCCAAGAGCATGCAGTGGGAGAGAGACTTCTGTCCGCAGCTCAGCAGCTCTGCCCTCTCCATATGCCCTGCGCTCGGGTTGTCCAGGTTGCAGAAACAGAAGTAGTTTAGCATGTTCTGGAACCAGTGTGTATCCTCCATTCAATTTAAGTAAGTAAATGACTTAACCTTACCTGCCTTAGTTTCCCCATTTGTAATTAAACAAAGACACTAATACCTACCCCACAGCATTGTTGTGAGGAGTACATCAGTTTAGTTCATGTAATGTAGCTCATTAAATATAGCTATAGTCCTTATTAGTCCTAACATCTTCTCCCAGCTTGTTATCCTCACTCTCCCATTCTGTTCATATTCGCCAGGATCTATGTGGGACCATTTGTACTTAACCTCTCTGAAATGAGGTGACCGGATCAGCTGCTATGATTGAACTGTGCCTGTCCACATGGTATATGCTACTTCACTCATTTGGCAATTCACCAAGGCCCTTTAATTTCAGTGTGCTGGAGAACCCAGATTTCAAACTCATGTCACTCTCCAGTCAAATTAGAAGTTTGCAAAAACACAACCAAGAGGACATTCTTTAGACTGAAGGTTTGAGGATTTCATAGGAAGGACTCTCAACCCTTTTTATGACATCTCTACAATAGAAGAAGGAAACCATTATTCCAAGGTTGAAAACAGAACATAAAATATTTCTCTCCTCCTCTTACATTGTTACTCCTTTGTACTCCTACCAACAAAAATAGCAACATGACAAACAAAAACATGGCAAAAGAAAACAAAAAACTAAGCACTAGATGCAGCAAATAATGTCTTGGGACATACACTGAAAAATGATTTGTTGTTTACCTGAAATTCAGATTTCACTAGGCATCTGTCTTTTATCTGCATCCCTACCACAATATACCTTGGTGGTCTTACAATTCTTCATGGTACATGTAAAGGATCAAAACAGCAGGGAAAAAACAAAACAAACAAACAAAAAAACCAGAAAATAAGAAATGCAACAATGGATTGAGACCTCATTAAATTTCTTTTGGAACAGAACAGGCAAGGGAAAAAAAACAAACAAACATTGAGCAGAACCTGGGTAGAGCAATAGAATTTAGAAGTCCAAGAACAGTACTTTCACAGCTGAGCCACGCTGGCCTTGGGGTTTCTCATAGTTAGAGGTTAGTCACATGGTTGGTGTTTCCAGCCCTTCCCCGTGGAACACTGCCATGCAAGGGAGGCTGGCGCCGGCGGTGCCTCCACTCCCTGGGGTCCCACAAATGAACCTGTAAGAGGTGGAATTCAGCATCATTTTCAAGAACTTCAGCTTGGAAATGAATGGTAAACTCATGCTAGTGTCATGGTCATGATCAAGCCTGTTTCTTGTGTTTCTCAAAGGTGTCAAGGAGTACAAGCCCAAATGCTTTTACCACAGAGAAAGGAAATGATGAAAAATCTGAAGAGCCTTTCTTAGAACACATCAGAAAGTGGCTTCTACCTCCATTCCAGATAAATGGCATGTGGCCAAGACAGCCCTCACCTCTGCCTTCAGCCCCATTCTTTCTTATACTACAAATCACCTGGCTCCCAATTAGAGACCGATCAGAGTTTGTTTTTGTACATTCAGTTTTCCTGTGTAGCTTTCATTTTTCTGCCATTTTCTATGTACACCATCAAAGCTACATTGTGCGCCTTATAAAATAATTGAGATTTGAGATGAGAAACTAGGGTTCCTTGGCAGGCCTGAAGCAGATCAAGCTGAGCTTGGGAAGGGCTTTGCAGAGAGGGCTCCATCAAGGGAAGAGCCAAGAGGAGACCCACAGCTACATTTGCTCTATGTCCACACTTAGGTCGCTTCTATTATTCCTTAAAATCTACAGGCACTGGGGA